ACCCATTTAGATGGCTATGATAGAATTGGTGAAAGATGACAAGTGTTGGGGAGGATGTGGAGAAAAGGAAACGCTTGTATACTGTTGGTGGGAATGAAATAAGTACAGCCAATATGGGAAACAATATGGAGGTTCCTAAAAAAATTAAAAATGGAACTACAATATGATCTAGCAACCCGAATACAGGGTATGTATCCACAGGAAATGAAATCAGTATGCTGAAAAGATATTCTGTGTTTCCATGTTTATTGCAGCATGTTCACCGTAGCCAGGATAGGGAAACAACTTAAGTATCTGACAATGGCTATTTTTCTTAGCTACAATTTTCTTGATTTTCAGAGAAAATAATTTCTTTTCTTTGCAGACTCAAATTTTATCATTCTATGCAACTCAATTACATTATGTAAGTATGAGGTATACAATAGAAATAAAAGTTTGGGAACAAACATAATTGACTCTTGGGGAGTATTCCACTTAGCAAGTAGAAGCAGATATGTATGAGTAAACCAAAGCGAAGGCTACTAGCTATGAGTCTTCAGTATTTTATGAGGATTGGTTGGCATATTTCAGAAAGAGAATCAAGAATATTACTTAAGTAGATGATGATTAAAAAAAACTTCTACTGTATGCACGTATATATGTCCTGGGGACAGAGTTCACGTTGTCATCTAATTTTTGGAGGGATCTATGATCATTAAAATGTTAAGTACTGTTAACTTAAAAATTGCACAATTTATAAATCTAAGAAAGAAGAGAAGAATTTATTTCTTACAAAGTGTTACAGACTGCAAGGCGACCATTCCACAAGCTGGGAAGTGTGCCTTTGGCCAAAATCAGAGATGGGCACTTTGAAGGAGGGTTTGGAATAGGAGCTTTATGCTTAACACGTTGGCTAAACATGTATATTCAACAGGTTACAGGAGGAGCAATGAATATTCATGAAGCTGATCCTGACACATGCATGTTGAACAAACATACATGTAACATATGGCCATGTTCACTTTTGGATGAAGATTTAACATTTAAATATATTACAATTGGGTCTTATACATCAAAATGTTTTTTCAGGTCATGAAGTCACACTGATGTGCAACTTCTGTAAACCAATCAGGACCACCCCATGGTCAGTGGTATTCTTATCAGAAGAAAGTTACTAAAACCAGTCTTTTATCCAACAAAAGCTGTAGTTGTGGTTTGTGGAACAGGAGATCAGTTAGTCAGCATCTGGTGAAGCTGCAAACTGTTCTAATATTGCTTATCTGAAGGCCAATGTTTGTTTAGCTGCTAAAGAAAAAGAAAAATCTTGTGACAGAACATAGTTTATTCTTTAAGTGTAGGGTACATGACTTAACCCTTGCCTGGCACAACCTTAGGTCCTGTTTATAATTTGGTATCGTGTTGCCACAAATAATCTGTTCTGTCAGTTTTGTAATCTTTGTTTTAACATCAGTGCTGGTCAGTTGTTGTGTCTAAAAAGGGAGGGAGTAAAATAAGGCCTGTCTAACCTCTCATTCTATCATGGCTAAGTTTTTAAGGCTTTTCTGGCATCCCTTTGGCCAAGAGGTGGTCTGTTCAGTCCGTGGGGGGCTTAAGATTTTATTTGTAGCTTAAAGTACCATAGTATAAATTAAAATCCAATCCATAAGGCCAGGTTAAGGAATAAACACTTTCTCTTCCTGTAATCTATTTTTGGACACTTGTGCATCCACCTTTTTCATGAAGATTTTTTTCTCCCTAAAAAATCAATTCATGCAAACAGATGCTTCTGAGCTGATGCCCAACCAGTTCATCAGAAACATTCACTCTAAATAACCTGGTGCCTAGTGTTCTTAGTACAGCCCAATGTGATGTAATGAAGATAGGTTGATAAATTACTGATGCATTTAGTGGCAACATTTCACTAAGAAGGCTGTTCTGTTTTACACATCTGAAAGTCAGTTAAAAAGTAACACGGTTTGGATGTTTCCTCCCCTCCAAATCACATGGTGAAATGTGACCTCCAATGTTCGAGGTGGGCCAAGTGGGGATGCTTGGGTGTTGGGGCCAGATCCCTCATGAATGCCTTGGTGCTGTCCTCACAATAGAGTGAATTCTCACTCTATGAGTTCACATGAGATCCGGTTATTTAAAAGAGCCTGAGTTTAAAAGAGAGAGCCTCCTCCCTCTCTCTTGCTCCCTCTCTCCATGTAATAGGCCTGTTTCCCCTTTGCCTTCCATCATGATTGTAAGTTTCCTGAGGTCCTCTCATCAGAACCAGAAAGCAGCACCACACTTCCTGTACAGCCTGCAAAACTGTGAGCCAAAATAAACCTATTTTCTTTGTAAATTACCCAATCTCAATTATTCCTGTATAGTAATGCAAATGAATGAATGCAGAAAGAAAGAGTCTGCATTTCCTAACTTCAGAAACTATATTATCTGTAGTTTCCTTTGTGGTACCTTTGTAAAGACAAAAGTCATTAAACAATTTAGTGTTCTTGTTAAAGTATAATGTTATGTAATGAACATGGGCTAATAAATTATTGATGCATTAAATGGCAACATTTCATTAAAAAAATTCAAACTTGCAATCTCAGTTTAGAATCTTCCAAGTGAATGAGGACCCCTAACTCTGTTCAGGTCAAATGTTGCCCCCTCAGAGAAAGTGACTGACCATGCTGTCTAAAGTAACAGCTTCCATTAATTTTGATTCTCTTACCTTGTTTTCTTTTTCTTCATAGCATTTATCACTATCTGACATTGTATTATATATCTATTTATTTATTATTAATTTTCTATCTTTTTACTACTATGTAAGCTTCATTAAAGCAGAGACTATTTCTTTTACCAATGTATCTCCTCTGCATATGACAGTACCTGACACTTATCACCATTATATAATGATTTATTTAGTAAATGACTAAATGGTTTGTTTCCATGCTCATGTTCCAGCCAGACACGTAGGCAGGTATTGTGGCTTATCTCTGAATTCCTTGGCACTGGTTGGCTGGCATAGAACCTTGTAAACAACGAATAAATTACCGTTTGATCAGTATGCCTGGATAGAGAAGACGTGGGAATGCTGCATCCCAGGATATGCTATTAATATACTTATATGCCATGGAATACTATGCAGCCATAAAAAAAAATGAGTTCATGTCCTTTGCAGCAATATAGATGAAGCTGGAAGCTATCATTCTCAGCAAACTAACACAGGAACAGAAAGCCAAACACCATATGTTCTCACTCATAAGTGGAAGCTGAACAATGAGAACACATGGACACAAGGAGGGGGACATTACACACCAGGGCCTGTTACAGGGTGGGGAGCAAGGGGAGGGAGAGCCTTAGGACAAATACCTAATGCATGTGGGACTTAAAACCTAGATAACAGGTTGATAGGTGCAGCAAACCACCATAGCACATGTATACCCATGTAACAAACCTACATGTTCTACAGATGTATCCCAGAACTTAGAGTAAGATAATTTTAAAAATACACTTAAAATTCATTTTTTTAACTAGATTGTTCTCTTGAGGTTTACTTATGACTACTTTGAGTTGCCAGGAATGAGTGTACATTTCGTGGGAATCCCTAACTCACCAAGAATACAGACCACTTGTAATAGTTAAGGTATATTCAACAATAAAATTTTAGAGACTCGGGGTATTTGATACTTGCTTATAACATTTCACTTTTGAGCTTTTATTCATTTAATAAATGTTTTATCATCTTCTATGCTCAAGAACATTTTTAAGTGTCCATTAAAATCATTTCACTGGGCAAAACAATGTTCCTTCCCTGATTTCCCTCATCAGAATAGCCATTTTGTCTCTGCTCAGCCTATACCACCAGTTGTTTATTTCCTGTCCGTGTAATAAGCAACAGTTATTTATACATGCCCATTTCTCCCATAGCACATAAGCTCTTTAAGTTGGGGACCCATGTGTCATTATTTTAACATCCCTTTCCATTCCCAGTGTTTAGCAAGATGTCTCATACGAAGTAGACACTAAAAAACTTTTTAAAACTTCAGTTAAAATTATTTATATAATCTGAGTCACTTTTTTAAAAACCACCTACAGTATTTTAATTTCATTTTAACTTTGTCCAGCATCCTATGTACATTTGAAGTTTAACTACCAGAAAAGGCTTTTCAAGGCAGTTGGAATCATGTCTTTTTTTCCCCTTAAAAATCCCTCATTTGTATCGTTTGATCTTCGTATTATTTATGTAATAAAGTGGCCCAGTTTGCCACTTTGAAGTGGCTAAGCTGGTATGACAAGTCAGTCCCCTCTGTTTTAACTTGTTTAAAGAAAGTAACTCTGAAACGACCAATCTTTTGGTACCTTATTTCTGCTTTCCTCCGTCCTCTTCTGGCTATGAAGCCACACTCCTCTGCTAAGCTGTTCCTGGGAATGGGAGCTGCCCGATTCACGTGTAGCAAATCAAAGCCAATTCGATCTGCGGTAACTTTGGTTTTCAACAACTTGTCCTCTGAAAAGCTTTCTGTCCATGTTTACCCCTCATCTTGTCACCATTTAGACCCCTACATAAACCGGCTCACGGAGCCTCCAGCCATTCAGCGCTAGAAAAACGGGGTCTACGCGTTAAAACCTTGAGCACCTGTTTGGGAACGTCTGCGCCTCCTCCTCCCTTGAGGGGGAGAAACGCCCCCGACATTCGCGTCAAAGGAAGTGTCATCTATCACCCTCAACGCAGGGCACCCGTTCTAGAAATGTTTGCATAAACACCGTAAACCTGCCTGGTACCACTCTAAGTAACAGTCACCAAAGACAGTTTACAAAGAAAGCGAAAAAACAAATACAAATCCCGAAACTCCATCCTCCGCCCCCTGGGTACCGGAATCCGGCGCCCAACTCTCTCCTCAGCCAGAGGACGGAGGGGGTGTGCCCGACTGCGCGGGGCCCACGTGACCGCGGAGAGCCGCGCGCAGGCACGTCGCGCGATCTGCCGTCATATCAGCTTATGGCGCCGGCCGCTGATTGGCTGGCCGCTCCATCCTCGGGCGCCTGCTCGGCTCCTCCCGGCCCAGCCAGCTTGTTGGCTGCCAACCTGCCAGGGCGGTCTGCAGAGCAGCGGCGTGCGGAGCAGCGGCTGACCACCTCCAGGTGGGGTCGGTGGGTGTGCGGGAAAGGAAGCGGAGTACACCTGAACGGGCCGGGCTGGGGAGCGAGGGAATGAAAAGGATAGAGAGACTTCAGCGCCTGGGACTCGGGTGGGCGAGGCTGAGGGTGTGCCCAGAGGTCGGGTTTTCTCCGCGCCGCGGGCGATTAGCGAGTGCCCTCTGGATGCCAGGCGTTGGGCGGGTGCTAGGAACGCGGTGGTGAAACGGACCAGAGTCCTGCGCCGAGTGGGAGGGTAGCCAGGCATCCCGAGGACTGGCGGTGAGCGCTGTGCCGGGGGAGCTGCAGGCGTGGGGCTGCGCCACCTGGAAGCCCAGGAGGGATCGCGGGGCCCATGGGAGGCCTGGCCGTGAAAGAGCCGACCGTGGACGGGCTTGAAAATGCAGTGTTTTATGCTTGGTGTTGCAGATCACTTACTCAAGGGAAGTCTGGTCTGGCTGCTGAACACGAATGCTTTACTTTTCCCTTTGTTCTTGCAGAAGTTTTTTTCTTTTAAGTTCCAAAGGAATCAGGCTCAAGAACTGGTCGGTATCAGAACTCCTGACCATTGCAGTGCAAGCTTCTGTTACTGCAGCTTAATTAGGAGGGGCAACAATCCGGGATTGAGGAAACTAAAAGGAAACGGGAAATAATCAATTCCTTTAGCATCATAAAAGGAAAAATAATGTATACTACCATCCCTGTGTTACAGCAGAGTAGATTTGGAGGTGGTACAAGTGAAGAAAACAAGATCTCAGTAGATAAAGTTTCCAAACTGGAAAGTTTGTGGCAGCTTGGTACTTTTAAAGGAAACCCTCTGGGAAGTTGTCTTTATATCACTATCATTTTTTTTTTAGAGTTTCTGATGATTAATACTTAATAAAAAGGATCACCTATTGATCCTTGATCATTTACAGAGTGCTTTTCCATCATTATGTAATATAATTAATTAGCATGGTACGCAGAATTCCTCATCTGTATATAAAACTTTTGTTTGTTTTTGTTTTTTGAGATGGAGTCTCTCTCTGTCACCAGGCTGGAGTGCAGTGGCATGATCTCAGCTCACTACAACCCCTGCCTTGGGGTTCAAGCGATTATCCTGCCTCAGCCTCCTGAGTAGCTGGGACTACAGGCACGAGCTACCATGCCCAGCTAATTTTTGTATTTTTAGTAGAGGTGGGGCTTCCCCATGTTGGCCAGGATGGTCTCTATCTCTTGACCTTGTGATCTGCCTACCTCGGCCTCCCAAAGTGCTGGGATTGTAGGCCTGAGCCACACTCCTGGCCAAACATCTTGAGAGGTAACATAATGTGGTGGCAAAGAGAAAGGGTTCTGGATTTTACATCCCAGCAGGTTTTTTCTTGTTGTTGCTTGTTACTGAACAAGTTATTTAAATACTCCTGACCTCAGTTTCCCTATCTATAAAGTGGGGATTATAGAAGTACCTATCTCATAGAGCTATAAGGATTAGATGAGGTTACACAAAAATACCTGGTTCTCAATGAATATTAACTATTATTTTCTATACTTTTTTTTTCTTTTTTGAGATGGAGTTTTGCTCTTGTTGCCCAGGCTGGAGTACAATGGTGCAATCTCAGCTCACCACAACCTCTGCTTCCCAGGTTCAAGCGATTCTCCTGCCTCAGCCTCCCAAATAGCTGGGGTTACAGGCATGCACCACCACGCCTGGCTAATTTTGTATTTTTAGGTAGAGATGGGGTTTTTCCATGTTGGTCAGGCTGTTCTCGAACTCCTGACCTCAGGTGATCCACCTGCCTCAGCCTCCCAAAGTGCTGGGATTACAGACATGAGCCACCGCACCTGTCCTATTTTCTATACTTTTTAAGTGAAGCAAAAAGGTAATCGTAGACTGAGTTGTTCTAAGCCTAGTATTGTTATTGTAACTGCATTTTAAGAAAAGGTTTCTTTAATTCTGCAAGGACAAAATATGAAAGCTTCTCTTTGAAGCAGTGGTACTTAATTTAGGGTCTTTGGAACCCCTTATTTCAGGGCTTATAACCCCCTAAAATTGTATGAGCTTGTAGAGGCACTGAGGATTAAAAAGAAAATTCAGGGGTTACAACTTGAAGTAGTGGTGAAGAGGCAGTAGAACTTGGCAGAAGTTCACAGACTTTGCAACCAGATTTTATGTATTTGTGTATTTGCATCCTAGCTCTAGCATTTATTTACTCTTATGATCCTGTGCAAGTTACTTAAAATTTTTGTATCTATAAAAGATAAAAAACTCCAGCTTCTTTATCTATAAAATAATACTAATATCTAACTTTTGGGGTTTCTCAAAAGGGTTAAATGAGTTAATATATGTAAAATATTTATGTTACCTAGTATATAGTAAATATTACTATACTAGTAATATTTAACTACTATCTATTATTTTTCAAAGAAAAAACAAGTGGTACCTGTTTTATCTTCATTGAAGTAATTTTGACTCATTTTTGACTGCCTTAATGATGATAACAATATAGGTCCTATTTTATTGAGTACCTTTTGTGGGTCAAATGATGTCAAAAAGCCTACTTAGTCTCTAAACCTTATGGCAATCAAACATAATGTTTGTGTCCTTTTTGATTGCACCATATACTGTTCTAGGTATTGTTTTGAATTAGGGCTACCTGGTACTGTAGGGAACATGTAGATTGGTTCATCAACTCTTACTTACCTTTAGTGATGTAGCAATATCCTTTTCAATTATTAAATGTTTATCTTCCTCTGGTACTACATACTTAGTACACTGTCCCTGCTACACCACCTCCCTTGACAGTCCTCACCCTTATAACTTCAACTACTACCTGTATATAACTAGCCTCGCTTGTGAACTTCACATTTATGTTTACATGTGGCCTATTGCTTTTGTCTAGGATATAAGATAAGCCAGATAATTAGATTTTAAGATCTACATTGAACCCATTGTGAACCCCAGATACCTGAGACAAGTCTTACTCAATTTAGAAAGTTTATTTTGCCAAGGTTAAGCATGCATCCATGTCACAGCCTCAGGAAGTCCTGACAACATGTGCCTAAGGTTGTCCCGGATATAGTTTGCTTTTATACATTTTAGGGAGACATGAGACATCAATCAGTATGTGTAAGATGTACATTGATTTGGTCTGGTAAGGGGGGACAACTCACAGTAGAGGCTTCCAGGTTATAAGTAGATAAGAGACAAAGGTTGTATTCTTTTGAGTCCTTGATTAGCTTTCCACTGCATACACAATTTAGTGTAGCTCAGTAAATCTGCATTTTTACATAAACAGTAGGGCAGAGGAAGCAATCAGATATGCATTTGTCTCAGGTGAGCCTCAGAGGGATGACTTTGAGTTCTGTCTGTCCTTTGTCCACAAAGGAATTTTCTGAGAGCAAATTGCGAGGGAGAGATGTGGCTTCTTATTTTTGTAACTATCTTATTTAGGAATAAAATGGGAGGCAGGTTTGCCTAACATAGTTCCCAGCTTGACTTTCCTCTTAGCTTAGTGATTTTGGAGTTCCAAGATTTACTTTCCGTTCACACCATCATTCCTTACCTATCCCCTATTCCTACCCTACCCAAATCTGCTAGCTCCGCCAGTATTCTCTATTTCAGTTATAATGACATCACCATCTACTCAGGCCAGCTAAAATCTCACAGTTGTCCTAGATTTTTCTGTCTTTCATATTCCAGCATCTGTAGGTTATCCAAATCTTGTGGATGTTTTTACTTGGGAAATCTCTGCTGGCTAGTCTAACAGCCAGTGCCTGAGGTCAGGCTGTCATTTTCTCTGGGTTAGTCTACCACAGGAACAACCAAACTAGTCTCCCTTCTTCTCACTGATAACTCGTATTTCTTACAGAGTCTTGCTGTGTTGCCCAGGCTGGTCTCGAACTCCTAGCTTCAAGCGGTCCTCCTACCTCAGCCTTCCAAAGCACTGGGATTACAGGCATTAGCCACCTCACCTGGCCCAGTACCCCAGATTTCTAATGCAGTGGTTTTTATGAAATATGAGTCTAATTGTATCTTTTTTTTTCTCCCTAGAAATCTTTAGTGTCTCCCCATAGTGTGTGAAAGAAAGTCCAAATTCCTCAGCAGGATAACAGATCCCTCCATACATAGTCTAACAGCAATCTCCTTTACAAGTCCATTCCCTAACATGTTTTTCCCTCTGCTCCACCCCTATCACCCTAACGCCCAGCAACCATTCCCAGTGAGCCATGAATACACCATGCTCTTCCCTTGCTTTGCAGTTGTGATTTCTCTTTGGAATGGCTATCCCTAACCTTTTCTTTCTGATGATATCCTTCCAAGTCCAAATCTGATGTCATATTCACTAGGAAGCCTCTTACCATAAACTGAGATAGTTGTATTGTCTTTGCTGATTTTATAGAATTTGCATATATATCTGTATTACAGCACATATCATATTTATATAATTGTTTTTGTAATTGCCTTACCTTCAAGACTGATTTAGACTGTGTCTTTTTAATGTTTGTATGCTCACTACCTAGTGTAGTGCTTAACACTTAATAAGTTCTTATTTGAATGAATTAACAATGGTATATATGATGAGGGATATATGTTGATATCTGGCATTCAGTGCTAATTAAATTTTTATTTCCCTGACAAAGTGAGGAAATGTTTATAATTCATATCATAAATGAAGGACCACCAAACTCCCTAATGTATTAGGAGCTTCTAGAATTTGACTTTTTTAAAGATACTAAAAACCCAGTGGGAAAATGGACAAAAGATGAAAATAGATAAATGCAGGAAAATAATAAATTATTCTAAATATATGGAACGATGCTCAACTTTACTTATAATAAGATACATTCAAATTAAGTATACCCCGAGATAGCCCTTCTTTCCTGATGAATATGTGGACGTTTGATGATATCCCCTGTTAGTAAGATTGTAGAGAAGTAGGTAAAGTACTATCCTACGTCGTTTGAGGACTGCGAAGTAGTTACAACCCTATGGAGAGAAATTTAGGAGTCTCTACAAAAGTTATGAGTACATAACTCTTTGGCTCAGCTCTTTTGGGTTTAGAAATCTGCCTAATGCAGGGCTTGTCATTGTAGCATTATTTGTAATAGCAAAACATTGGAACCTATCCAAATATCCAGATACGTGTTAAGTAAACACATATGTAACACTGAATTAGTAATTCAGCTGAACTCACACAAAGGGACACAGGTCCATAGTCCCTAGCCACAATTTGGAAGTCTGGAAAGCCCTGAAAAAACAAAAAGTTGTTTTGTTTTTGCTTTAAGTTCAGCTCTGAAACTCATTTGATGACAAATTCTGACTCCAGCTGACTGGGGCGCCCGTCATGTCTTGGCACACCTACCAGGTATTCCTGGTGTTGTTTATTGTTTTGTTACTTTGGGTTGAACGTGGCAGTATGGGAACTACCACCATATGTGACTTAAAGAATAGAAGAACAGATTGTGGATGTTTTATAGTGGTAGTAAGGATTAAGAATTGATGAAAAATAGGAAGATATTGCACAGGACCGAAAATGAAGATTCAAACAATGTTTTGGTTAAGTGGATTTCACGATAGGAAGTAAACAGATGCCACTGATTTCTTTGTTGGTCATGAAAAAAGCTGGCATATATAATTAACTGCTGCTGAAGGATATATGTTAGTCTTAACAAGGAAGAAATTGAAATTTAGGAAGCAGTGTGGTGAAAAATATCTAAAAGTATGGCCAGAGTCAATTGAAAAGTTCAGTATTTCTAGACAGCTCTTTTATGCATTCTCCTCAGCTGTATGTTATGTTAAAAACTTTTTATCATTTACCTTTCCCTCACTGTGACCAGAATACAGTCATTTCCTTTGGGTCTTGCTCTGTTGCCCAGGCTGGAGTGCAGTGGCATGATCATGGCCCACTGCAGCCTTGAACTCCTCAGTTAATTCTCCCACCTTAACCTTCTGAGGGTAGCTGGGACCACAGGGCTATGCTACCACGCCTGGCTAACTTTTGTATATTTTGTAGAAATGGGATTTTACTGTGTTGCTCCTGCTGTTCTCCAACTCCTCAGCTCAAGCAATAAACCTGCCTCCCAAGTGCTGGTATTGCAGTCTGAGCCACCATGCCTGGCCAGAATACAACCTTTTTCTCCAAGGAGTGTTACACTCTGGGAAAAATCAAGGGTATTGCTTGCACAGTTAAGGGAGGCCTAGGAATCAAAACTTCTTTTAAGACTTCAGTTGTAAAGATCCTGTTTTCAAAATTACTTAATACTTGAAATGATGTTGATAAATCAGCAATAATAAATGTTTAACATTTTAGCTGACAATGGGGTTTGAAAATGAACCTGTAGAAACTTTGAAGGTTTTTCTGTCACTGAGATGATGATACCTAATCTCCTTAATTATACCATACATTTAATGGCCAAAGCCATAAATATGTCCGGAGAAGCTGATGTTGAAGAAAAGCTGGTGGCTGGTGGGCACCTGTAGTCCCAGCTACCCGGGAGACAGAGGCAGGAAAATCACCTGAACCCAGAAGGCAGAGGTTGCAGTGAGCCAAGATCACACCACTACACTTCAGCCTGGGTGGCAGAGTGAGACTCTATCCCACCCCCCGCCACAAAAAAAATGGGCTGGGCATGGTGGTGCACACCTGTAGTACCAGCTACTCAGGAGGCTGAGTTGGAAGGATCACTTGAGCCTGGGAGGCAGAGGTCGCAGTGAGCTGAGATCATACCACTGCACTCCAGCCTGATTGACAGAGCAAGACCTTGTCTCTAAATAAATAAATAATTTAAAACACACACACACACACACACACACACGCGCGCGCACACACAAATATTTGATGTGTTTAAGGACAAGGCGAAGTTTTGACCTTTGCAAAATGTATTCATAGAAATTTTGAATTCCAAAATACATCTGATGCCAAATGTTTTAATTAAGAATGGCAGTAGACCTGTACTATAAAAAAGGAGGAGATGGTGACTTCCAGAATAGCAGAGTAAGAATCTCTGAAAATCTCTTCTTTATAAAAAGCAACAAAACACTGACAGAGATTGTCAGAATCAACTTTTTTAGAACTCTAGAAATTAAAACTTCACAAGTTAAAGCTTTACAATAATCTTAACAGCCTTTATTTGAGAAAAATTGTTGAATCTTAGTAAGAACAATTAGCTTTGTAGCACTTTTCATCTTTTTCCATCCCCCTTTCCCTAGCTCCATGGTAGCCTTGAAAACTAAGCCTTACAACACAGTCACTATGAAAAACAGCAACCTAGCAACCATGGAAGGTACAGAACAGGTTTGCAGCCCCACCAAAGGCCACAACCCAGAGAATCAGCACCACTTGACCTCTCTCGCAGTTCTCAAGGCTTGTGTTTTTATGACCTGTCTTAGAGCTTGCTCAATGTTGTCCTGCCCCAGGGTATTTGTCAAGAAGAATGATTATTTAATATAACAGGTGTTAGAGGCACTGTTATCAGCTGGCATTAACAAAAGCCTGGACAAAAATACTTAAAAGGGGACACAGAAATGAGATATCCATAGGGAGCTTTGAAAAGCTCTGCTGTTTTCCTGAGAATCTAGAATGATTCCTGTGAGAAGGGTTGTTGCACATACCCAAGAAGGGGAGAAGGCCCTAATTTCTCTTGTTTGGCTGACCTTGAGGGTTTATGCAAACAGAAAGTTCAGGCGAGTCAGAGTTTTAGACTGACGACAGAAGTATTGAAAGCATGGCCCAACACAGCATCTTGGCAAATGCTGGGGGACTTACTGGTTCAAGGCATTTAAGAAAATCCCTCCAGTTATTAGTAAGAGACTTGTAGCTGGACACAACAAAGAAAACAGGTATATAATTAGTCCAGAGAGTCACTTAAGGCACAGCAACAACAGCAGCTTAAAGCCCTGGGGCAGGGTGGGCGGTGGTGCATACAATCTGATTTCCAGAGTTACCCCATCATATTACTTAAAGTGTTCCATTTTCCACAAAATGTTACAAAACACACAAACAGAAAAGTATGGCTTATACACACAAAAAGACAGTCAGTACAAACTATCTCAGAAAGCCCATATGTTGGACTTACAGGCAAACACTCAAGATCAGCTACTACAAATATGCTATAAAAGAACTAAGGAACATCATGTTTAAGTAACAAATAGTAAGGAATACCATGTTTAAATAACAAATAATAAGAAACACCATGTTTAAATAATAAAAAGAACATATTAGAACAATTTCTCCCCAAGTAGAGAATATCAATAAAATGATAAAACTTATTTTAAAAAGAACCAAACGAAAACACAGGATTTGAAAAGTACAGTGATTGAAACGAACTGTCTTGCTTAACAGCAGAGTTGAGCCAACAGAACACAGAGGCTGAGGTTAGGTCAATTGAGATTATACAGCTGGGAAGAGAAAGAAAATGAAGAAATACGAACAGAGACTTGGGGGAACACCATCACACATTTCAACATAAACATAATAAGAGTCCCAAAAGGAGAAGAGAGAAATGCATAGAAAGTTTAAGAAAGAGTGGCCCCAGAATTACCAAATTTGATGAAAAACTTTACACATCCAAGAAGCTCAACAGTGTAGCGTTGGGGTTTCTTTTTGGGGTGCTGAAAATGTTCGAAACTTGATAGTGGTAATGATTGGATAGCTCTGAGAATACGCTAAAAAACTAGTGAATCATATACTTTAAAATAGCAAATTTTATGGTGTGTGAATTGTATCTCAATAAACCTGTTTCATTAAAAATAAAGAAAAGGGGGAGCATGATCTTTATGTAGAGATGGAAAGATCTCCAAGATATATACTCAGTTTAAAAACAGGAACTTCACAGTATATTTAATGTGCCACATTTTGTAAGGAAGGAGAGAAAAAATTGTAGTTCTTCCATCTCACATTAACAAACACTGTAAGGATTCTCAGGAAATGGATAGATATGGTCACCCAGAGAAGTGGAAGTAAAATGATGATGTGGTTTACCATGACATGGATGGAAGCAAGACTTCACTGTATATCTTTTCCTATTGGTTTCTCATTTTGAAGTATGCGTGTATTATTTTTTAAGAAACTTTCTTAAATCCCTGTAGGGATTTAGTGGAGAAATCTCACAGGGAATCTAGTGGAGTGGAGGAAATAGGCTACAAAGAAGTAAGGAAGTATTTTCAGAATTTTCCTTACCTATGGGCAGTTTTATTTCATCAATTGATATTTATTAACTCGGCCCAGTATGTAGGAGATAAAGGCCATTTGAACACTTGAAATCTATTGTGGGTAGGCAATTTGCTGATTGGCTTCTTGTTCCGAAGTTTCAGTTCTTAGTGAGAGATGTTTTCGATTCTGAGCACATTTTCTTGTGCGAACAATGCGATGAGTAATGAGCAGATCATAAATGATAGATTCCATAGTCAGATCACAAAAGCTGACCATAATATCACCAAATTGTATTGTAACAGGACCAAGAGTATAGAGTGGACTTAAATATTTTCTGAATTGTTTAAAGTTTTTTAGAGTTTAAGCATCTGAAACAGGTGTTGGCAAACTATCTGTCAATGACTGGGTAAATGCCTTTGGTTCTGCAGGCCATACTGTCTCTGTTCCAGTGATACAAGCCCGCCTTTGTAGTAGAAAAGCAGCCATGGGCAATATATAAACATCTGGGTATAGCTGTGTTCTATAAAGATTTTTACAAAACGGCCTCTGAGTTTGGCCCATGGGCTGCAATTTACCAACTTCTGATCAGGAATATTATTAGAGGGAGAGAAGTAAATGTATTCTAGTTCTTAACACCAATAATACGTCTTCCTTTGTTCTGTCTATTGGAGTGTCAGAAGAACAGATAGTCCCAATTCTATGGTTGTGGTGGCAGCATGGATATCTTTTAGGGAATTTATCTTAGGGGTCAGCACTGAAGCAAAAATCTCTGAAGTATGAGTACTTGAAGGAGAGAGATGCCACTGAAACTTGTAGCTGAAAGAGGAGACTGTTTGAGTACTTAGTCCCTGGCACTCCCACCTTTACTACTTGTCATGCTGCCATAGGACGCAGTAGGGAAGGATACTGAAATGGAATTCGATCTGGGCTTGTGCCACTTAGCAGCTTGGTGACCTTTCCTTGGCCTCAGTTTCTCCAACTGAACTTTAGTATCCCCATACATAATGTGAAGAGATGAGACTAGAGATGATATCAAAGATCCCTTCTAGCTCTAAAGATGGCATTTAGGGGATTCTGATAGCAGCAGATATACTACATGTGATTGTTTTTAAATCAGGAACTTCAGAAACAGGGTTTCTGAAAAGTGTTTGCTTGGAAAAATGTAGACATTGTAAGTAATTGTCACACATGCTTATCTTTTAGGGGCTAAGCGATGGACCTTGTACTCAGTGTTGCAGATTATTATTTTTTTACACCGTACATATATCCAGCTACATGGCCAGAAGATGACATCCTCCGACAAGCTATTAGTCTTCTGATTATAGCAAATGTTGGTGCTTACATCCTTTATTTCTTCTGTGCAACATTGAGCTATTATTTTGTCTTTGATCATGCATTAATGAAACATCCACAATTTTTAAAGGTACAAAATTTTTTAACCGATCTTCTAACTATTATTACAGTAAAAATAACAATATGATATATTTCTGAGATTTTTAGATTACGCAGATTATTGTAACCATTAAATAAAATTTTGGAAACTAGCCACAAATGGGTTAGACATTATCATGAGGATTAATCCCATCTCTCCTTCCATTAATTTAAACAAATCTAACGTTTTAATAAAACTATAAGTGTAGTATCTTATCTTGCTAGATGCATATTGGAGCATTTCTATACTGATATTAATGAATAAATAAATGCATACATTTAAATAATTATTTTAATACATGACTTTCACAAACTGAAATATTTTTTACCATGTTTTGTTTTTTGGCTAGATAGGGGATTCAAATTCAATAGTTTTAAAGTTGTTTATAATCATTTTTAAATTTCAGTTATTTGTACTTGTCAGTGACTCCAGGAACTGAACAGTAAAAAGAAAAAACAGAGAGGATTGGGGATGGAAGTTAATTAGGAAAGAAATGGAGTTTAGAATACAGATTTTATGGGAAGGAAAAAAAGGTTTCATAATTTTAAAAACATATTACATTTGCTCAGTACAAAAGGAATGATTTTCTTACATACCAATTTTCATGTATTTAAAATTTTAAGAGAAATAGTTTGGAGGTAAGCCCCTTTATGTAAAAGAGATTTTAAAAATCCAGTCCAGAACAGTTCTATGCTAGTTTTGTTTAACATAGATTTTGTGATTTTTAAATATTGGAAATTTCACTTTCAGAATCAAGTCCGTCGAGAGATTAAGTTTACTGTCCAGGCATTGCCATGGATAAGTATACCTACCGTTTTACTGTTCCTGCTGGAGATAAGAGGTTACAGCAAATTACATGATGACCTAGGAGAGTTTCCATATGGTAAGTAGATAATATGAGTATCAGGAAGAGAGTAGTCTAAGCACAGGTTAGTTTCCTTAAAAAAATAAATCTGCCTCTTTTTTTTTTATCTTTTAAAATAATTACAAATTATTCTGTTGTTTTTAATATTCTATTTTCATGTGTTCATGTCTTGCCACGTGTGCATTTCTTTACTTTTTTCTATTAATTTTAAAGTCTGTTGTAGATGAGATTGGGTCTGGTGGATGATTGGAGTGTTTAGAGATGGGTGCTTGCATTTGTTTTCTATTAGTTGTTCAACTTCTTAAAAAATAACTCGGGTAGTCTATGATAATTGCTGAAACTTAGAAAATACAGATGTTTAAAATCCATTATTCTGCGTCTTAGAAACTGTAACTCTTTTGGCATATGTCCACCCACTTTTCTGTGCCTATATACTTCATTGCATACATTTCACAGATGAAGTCCTGAGGTGCATAGTGATTTGGACTCTAATTTTTTTTTTCGCTTAGCAACTTATATGGTTGTATTTTCATGTTAATAAATATTGAGATTATGTAATATATTAGTCATAGTATTGTATGGATATTCATAAGTTATGGAAATGATACCTAATTGTTAGACCTTCAGATCATTACTCTTTTTTGTATTATAAACTGTCCTGCAGTGACTAAACTTTTATGAAATTTTGAAAGTTTTTCAACATACATTTCTAGGATCTAGTATGTATAAAGCAAGAATCACAGTATTTATTGAAGGCTGATATGTGTCGGTAACAGTTCTCAGCTCTTCACAAATACCAATCCATTTTTTTTTCTTAAAATGCTATGAGATAGATACTATCACTATGCTCCTTTTATAGATGAGTTAATGAGGTTTGAAGTTTCAGTAACAAATAGGTAGCAGATCTGAGACTTGAACTCAGGCTTGCTGGCACCAGCATGCCTGCTCATTAAGTCATAAGTTACTTATTTAGAAGAGGGAACAAAAAATTATATACTAGGGTAATGAATTGGCTGAGCTTTGAAAAATGGATATGATTATGAGTAAAAATAAAGGGAGGGGGGTATATTAGGTTCTTGGACCCCTATGAGGAAAGATACAGAGGTAAGACTTCCAAGACGTTGAGAGGACATTGAGTAAACCTGTCCGGTTAGAGCAGAAATACAGGAATGATGAGGCTGGAAAGATCCGCAAGGGTTTGAGTATGGAATAAATGCTAAATTTAAAGTATTTCGTGGAAAGTACATTTTAAGCAGGGAGATAATGTGTAAAGATAGGTTTTAGGAAGATTAATATGAAGGAAGTGATTATTCTCAGAGATTTAGATATAAAGATGTCTTAGGAATATCCTGTCTCATATATCTTTATAGTTTAATTAAGAAGTACTTTAGGTAGAAAATTTCAAGTACTTATGAGAGGGAAATGAGGAAATGACTGGATTCTAGGAAGTCAGGAGAGCTTAGTTTATAATATATTGAATTAGCCAAAACAGATCGCTGATAGTGTTTGAGGCTAGGATCCCATTTTGCACTTAGATGGACATGTGAAAAGTGAACTCTAATCCTAGGAGCTGAGTTTTGATTCTTCTGTTTCCCATTTTCTTATCTAGGATTGCTTGAACTCGTTGTTAGTATAATATCTTTCCTGTTTTTCACTGACATGTTCATCTACTGGATTCACAGAGGCCTTCATCATAGACTGGTATATAAGGTAAAGTCACTTGTGGGAAAAAGAGAAAAAAAGTTACACATTTCAGCAATATATGTTTATAAATTCTGTTCTCTGTTTCCAAGAATTTTTCTCTAACCATATTAAATGTCTAGCCATAATTATAACACTTACAGGGTGCAGTTTGTTCATATTCTTCTTTATGGATCTAAGGGGCTGTCTTAAAACTCTTCTGTTCTGGCAATAGGTACACATGGACTCACAGAGTGGAATAATAGACATTAGAGACTCCAGAAGATGGGAGGATGGGAGAGGAATGAGGGATGAGACACTCCCTATTGGGTACAGTGTGTATTGTTTAAGTGTTCAGGTGCTGGGTACACTAAAAGCCCAGACTTCACCACTATGCAGTATATCCATGGAACACCGCTGCACTTGTACCCATAAATCCGAACAAAATTGTACTGTTTTAGGGCAAAGAAGAAGGGCATTTTATAAAATAATTCTGCTGATTTCTACAGGACTTTTTAGTTAGGTTGTTTCCACAACGTGAGTATGAGAAGCTAGGTTGGATGTTGTAAAGTTTGTGGTGCTAATTGTGTCCTTTTCTTCTGTAGCGCCTCCATAAACCTCATCATGTTTGGAAGATTCCTACCCCATTTGCAAGTCACGCTTTTCACCCTGTCGATGGCTTTCTTCAGAGTCTACCTTACCATGTATACCCTTTTATCTTTCCATTACACAAGGTGGCTTATTTAAGTCTGTACATCTTGGTTAATATCTGGTCAATTTCCATTCATGATGGTGATTTTCGTGTCCCCCAAATCTTACAGCCGTTTATTAATGGCTCAGCTCATCATACAGACCACCATATGTTCTTTGACTATAATTATGGACAGTATTTTACTTTGTGGGATAGGATTGGAGGCTCATTCAAAAATCCTTCCTCCTTTGAGGGGAAGGGACCACTCAGTTATGTGAAGAACATGACAGAAGGAAAGTGCAGCAGCCATGCAGGAAATGGTTATAAGAGTGAAAAATTATTCAATGGAGAGTTTACGAAGATTGAATAGATTATTGCCCGATTATTCTTAAGTAAGGACAAAGAAGGGAATATAATATTTCTTTTTTTTTTTAATAAGGAAAAAGTAATCTACATACATCCAGGATACATAGTAAGTCAGTGGTATCATTTGGAAATCAGCATTGTGGGCACTGCTGAGGAATGATCATAAGCGTAGGTCAGGAGAAGATGCTGTGACCACCAGGATTTTAATCTCATGCTTAAAATGCCACATGTTGTCCAGGGGACAACTTATGTCTTTCTAGCAGCAGATCTGTAGTTTGTACAGTCTCAACAACAATTTTAAATAAGATAGAGAATAAATTATTGGGGGGACTAGGCTATATCCATTTGCCTTAATCCACTCATTTTTGTTAAGAATCATTGTGCTTAATAATGCCGAGACTAAGCACCATTCAAGAAATACTAATATAAAGACTGTTTCTTGTTTCAGGAGAGGTTAATTCTTCAATGTTGGTATGAGAACGATGACTTGTAGTACTTTATTCAAGTCAAAACATCAGTGTGGAAAAAAAAATTCTGATACATTAGAGGCTATGTAAATGAGCTAATTGATGGCAGGTATAATAAGACTATCGTCTTCCTATACATAGGAGGCTCATTTTCTGGGCACACTGTCCCCTATTACATTTTACTGATGAATAAATAAATTGGAATTTAATAATATCGATAACCACCATGATTGAATCCAGATCTGGGATTATGTAACTAAACATTGTGATGGTTATTATTTAAAACCATTATTTAATAAGAGTAAAAATATGTGAATCTGGATGTATTTAGAAAGAGAAATTTGATGCCCAAATAATATATTAGGCACTACTGATTGTTTAAATTGACGCACTGCACTTTTGATATTTCAAAGTTACAAACCTGTGATTTTTTTTGTAAAAGGAAATAATTGCCAAATACCTAGGCCCATTGCTGATGATTAGTTTTAAAATCGTATTCCTCCTCTTCTCCCCTGACTTTTTCCTACTTCCTGTGAAAAAAAGATTTAACAAATACTTTCATAAGGAAATGTGTGTTGTAACATAAATATATTGCAAAAACATAGTTTGTAAAGGCATTCTATAAGCTATTTATGTAAAATCAATAAAAGTTGATCATTGTAATTAAACTGTATCAGTTAATATTATAACAGCACAAAGTATTCTTTGTACAGATTTTGTGCCAATTCGAAGCCACAGAAATGATGTGGATTGTTAAATGTGTTTCAGAACGTCCCCAGATACTCAGTGTCAAGGGAAGAAAAAACCGAGTACCACGTTCTGTTTATATTTCACATTTTAACTAGATTTGAGTGTTTTAGCAAGAAACCAGTCATAAAATCTAGTGTCTGGGGTCCAGAAGAAAATGTCTTTAATCTTTGAGTTACCGTCACAGTGTTGTCTTATTTAGATGTACCAATTAGTATTTTGTAATGGGCAAGTGTCGTTTAGTGCTTTTCACTAATCCTACCCGCTCCCAGTGCTCCACCTTGCCCAAGAAAAGGAAATTAAGGAAAAGTAAACTTTGTTTCCTAATATAAGGGTAGCTAATGTTTATTGAGCTTGTCCTCTTTGCCAGGAGACTGGGACCCAAAGAAGTTAAGTAACTCTTCCAAGGTTTGTTTCTCTCTCATATTAATGTCCCATGTGGATATTTGTGGCCAGTGGACAGCTTTCCACCTAGTCATTCTGCGAGCCAGGCTCCTTTCTCTTGGGGCTCTGCCTTTCTCTCTGTCCATAGAGACCTCTTTGTTGAAGGAGCACATTGGGAAAGAAGGAAAAGTCTGTGTGGAAAATGTTTATGGGTCAGGCCTGGAAGTGGTGCATATCTCTTCTGCCCATGTTCCTTTGGACAGAGCTCGGTCATATGGCCAACCTAGAGAGATTTTGGAAAATGTGCCCAGCTGTGTGCTTGGAAAGAAGGGGTCATCATTTTCTTGAGCAGCTAGCCAGTTTGCCATATTTGTGTTATTTATTCCCCTCTTCTTGATGTTGAAGTGGTAAATAAGCCATAAAGTATTTCAAGTTATCCACACACTAATTGTCTTAGTGTCTTTAATTCAATAACTCCAATATGAATGTTAAAGTTTCTTCTAGATTCTTATTCCTGTATAGCTAATAGAGAAGAAAGAACAGCTTCCTATGAGGAAGACAGAGGCTTCCTTATAGGTGTTAGGAATAATCAAACTTGCCTCTGCCCTTTCACCCATGTCAAATTCTGGTCTTTTAAAGGAGTGTTATGTAAATAGTCCTAACATTTTAATATACACTACCACCACATTCTCCTATTTTCTATTAGAGGAAGTCAGAGAATATTCATGGGAGTGAGGACCAAAATTACCTTCTACAGGTGACTTTGAAACCTTTTATAGTTACAGGACAGAAAGTGAAAATCAAGGTTATGTTTTCTACTTCTGTGGTAGAAATTGAGAAGTGGGTGGATATGGTTCGAGAAGACCTTTCAGAAACCTAGAGACTGAGCCTTTGTCTTCCTTCCTGTCTCTGCATTGCCGAGTGTGGATTTCCTCATTCCCCTGTATGATGTTTTCTTCCCATCTTCTAAAAGCTGGGGACAGATTTGGAAGAGAATTACAAGTCCAGTTTTTTGATACATGGAGCTTACAGTGCAGGCAGGTGATTTATATAGAAAGGGGGTCTGGGAAAAAGATGGAAACCAGGGAGACAACTGAGAGCAAAGGTATTTGGGATGAGCCCAAATAGAAGAGAAGTTTGAAATCATGAGATTGCCACACAGAGCATGAAAAAAAAAGATATTCAAAGACACTTACCAACTTGAGGGGTGCAACGGTCTGAATATCTCCTCCAGAATTCATATGTTGAAATTTATTCGCCAGTGAAATAGCCTTTAGAGGTGGGGCCTTGAGGGAGTGATTAAGTCATGAGGGCTCTGGGATTAATTTAAAAAGAGGTGTGAGGCAGCTGTTCAGCCCTTTTGTCTCTTCTAACATGTGAGGACCCAGCAACAGGGCACCACTTGGAAGCAGAGACTGGGGACTCAGCAGACACCAAACCCACTGGTGCTTAGCCTTGACTTCTCAGCCTCCAGAGCTGTAAGAAAATAAATTTCTATTATTTATAAATTACCTAGTTGAAGATACTTTGTTAAAGCAGTACAAATGGAATAAGACAAGGGGGAAGAAACTTCCATTCCTGATCTTCCCAACTTCTTCAAATTCATAGCACTTGAATGACAGTCTTATTTCAGCACTTACCACTATCACCTATTATTTTTATGTGTGCCTTGTCTATTCTAGATGCCAGATTCCTTGGAAGTAGAGATTATACCTGAATCATCGTTGTATTAAACCACTTATCCTTAAAAAATGCCCAAGATGTGGTTAAGGTTCAATAAATACTTTGTTGAATTTATTGATAAAACGGCAGAAATGTCATTCTCTTCAATATATATTTAATAAATCCCTGACAGTTGCCAAGCACTGCAATGGGTACAAATTTTAAATCTCTTCTGCTGCTGTCTTTTTAGCCAACAATTTGTTTCTCATTTATTCATTAGCTAACATCTGCTAAGTGCCTTGGAGGGGTGAAAAGGGGAAGTAACAAGAAATCAAAGATGGTCCCTACATCAAGGATACACTCCTTTTTTTGTCACTCAAAGTCATAACCCTTTGGAAACAAAACCCACCAGTATTCCAGATTTTGACCACAGATGAACCAGTAATATAAGAACTGGTTAGAGGGTTGAATGAATCTGTATACTCAGCACTTAACGCAGTACTCTGGGTAAAAGGAAAAAGATCCTCAAAGATATTAGTTGGTTACATCAAGAAAGGGCAAACCTAGGAGTTTCATCTATAACTTCACCTCAGAGGAACAAGAGCTTTGGAGTTAAATAGGGCTCTGCCACTTGCAAATTGCATGATCGTGGTTTCTCCAACTGTAAAATGATTAAAACACTGCCTATCTAGTAAGATTAAATAAGTTAGAAGCATCCAGTTAAATGTTAACTGAAGCTACTCTTCACGTAAATTGTGCTTAATGCTTTTTCTTTCTAGATTCCATGATTATTATCATTATACCTCGATAGGCCCTCAATAGAAATCAGTTGCGGGGCAAAAGCCTAGATATTTTCACCTTAAAATAGGTGGGTGCAAGACATTGAGGTGGAATAGAGATAGAGGTACAGAGAAAACTCATATGAGTAAAACTGACATTGTTAACATTATTTACTGTAAGTTATCTTTGTAAGAGCGGTAAAATACATACATTATTTGTTGTTACATAATTTCATTTAAAAAAAAACACTTCACTTTGTGTGTTTTTGTATTGCTATAAACCATAAGGCCAATCTACAAGGTTTGTAGATGAAATAGAAAAAACATACCTTCCTTGAAAAGCAGAATAAATTTCTTAAGAAAGGCAGCAAGTGTTTGAACCATGAGTCAACAAGCTTTACTGTCAAAGCCGGCTTTTGGTATGGAAAGAAAAATACTTATAAATACTTGTTTTAATATTTGCTTTATTAAAATACGTTTAAAATAAAGCTTTTTTTAAATCTCTAAGCTTAACTTGGAGATCTTGTAAGTACTGTAAATTTGTTAAAAATGAGAAATTATATTCCAATTTCTTTAACAATTTGTAAGTTCCAATTATCCTGAACATTTAATACCCTTACATATTTTCTGAATCACATTTTCTTAAACATTTGATAAAAGACTTAATATTTTGATCCAACTACCAAAAAGGCAGACTTGTGTACTTGACAAATTTTTCTAAACACTTGACAACTCACGATTCTAACATAAACACAAAATAGCATATCAAAAATTAATCACTCAATTTAAAAGCGTTTATACCATAGGCTTTTATTCATTTCTTGAATAGTTTTATTACCGCTTCCTCTTTTAGGCTGCAATGAGCTATAATTGCACCACTGCACTCCATGCTGTGTGACAGAACAAGACCCTATCTCTCAAAATAAATAAATATATATATATGTATCTTCCTCTATTATACTTTAACTCATTAAGCCATTTTATTTAGATGGAAACTTGGCCCCCTGACATGTGCTATCAAACAAATAGAAACCTAGAAATTTACTGCACATTCAAATATTCAAACAGACACTGGTGTGGTGACTTTTGTCTGTCCTGTCCCTTCATTGGGACTTTTTTCTTTCTGATCAACCTAATGAAAGTATAATTTACATACAATTAAGTGTAGCCATTTTTAATGTAGAATTCAATGAGCTTTGATGAATGTGTACACCCAGGTAACCACCACCCCCAATCAAGATAAATAACATTTTCTTGCCAGAATAAATTTCCTTTCCCTTTGCAGTTATTCTCCCCAGCCCTAGGTCACCACTGATCCACCTTCTGTTACAGGAAAGGTTATTTTCTTCCCTGTTTCAGAATTTCATGTAAATTAGACAGTATGTACTCTTGTGTTTAGTTTCTTTAGCTTAACGTTTTTAGAGATACAAGCTGTTGCCTATGTCTGTAGTTGTTTTGTTTTTATTGCTGAATAGTATTTCATTGTAGTATACCACAATCTGTTTATATATTTACTGATGGATATTTGTGTTATTTCCAGTGTGGGATTATTACGAATAAAGTTGCTACAAACATTTGTGTGCAAGTCTTTGTGTGGTTATATGTTATTATTTCTCCTTGGTAAATATCTATTGGATTTGCTGGGTCATAGGGAAGAGATATATATGTATGTGTTTAATTTTATGAAACACTGTGAAACTATTTTCCAAATTAGTTGTACCATTTTACCTTCCTGTTACCAATGATGAGAATTCCATTTTTCCCACATGTTCACTAACGGTACTGTCTGCCTTGTTTGTAACCATTCTAGTGGGTGTGAAGGAGTGTCCCACTATGGCTTAATTTGCATTTTTCTGTGACTAATGATGTTAAGCACTTTTTCTCCTGCTTTTTTTTTTTCTTTTTAAAACTTTTGTATCTTTTGTAAAGTATTTGTTCAAGTCTTTGGCCATTTTAAAAACTAGGTTGTTTTTGTGTTACTGATTTATAAGATTCTTTATATATTGACACAAATTCTTTGTTATGTGTATGTGTTACCGAGATGTATATACTCCAATTTAGCTGGTCTTTTCATTTCCTTACTATCTTTTGATAAGGAAAA